AAAATCAATCAAAACATATAGGTTACTACTACTATACAGTTTTAATTTTGATTTCATAAAGTTTCAAGTAGTAGAAACCACAAGCATATTAAAACAGTCACATTTATTGTGACAAATTGCGGTTCGGAACTGACAAACTGCGACACGTACCTACCACTTCTAATAACAATTCGTTAGGGATGGCAAAAGGCAAAATATGCAATTTATCGATATCTTATATTTGGTACTTATATCAAAATGTTTTCTCAGATATTGTAATTCATACATCTTCTAAAACTCTTAAATAAAACTAGTTTAAACGGGATAATGCACGAAACTTTATTTATTTATTGACGTTTTGTAGCCTTTCCAGGCTTCGTCGTCAGAATAAAACTTTTGTTTAATTTGTCGAGCTACCTTCGAAAGAGTCTTTCGTTAAATAAAGTTTCGTGCATTATCCCGTTTAAACTAGTTTTATTTAATGAGTGATGTGCGTGAAAACCTAAGAAACAAATATTCTAAAACTCTTTTTAAAAAAAAATAAAACTGTATTCATATTATAAGGAACACCAATAAAAGTAATTATATAAAGTACAGTTAAAGTCAAATTAACATTTGGTGTCACAGTGCCATACCAAAACAATCAGTAAATGGCAAACTCAGATCTATCAGATGTATGATCGGATCGCGATGCGATACCATATAAAACACCGAGTCAGCACAAAATATAGAACAGAAGGTAATCTCATATATTTACCACACTTTTGGAGTGAAAACTTCTATAATATCGTTGTGACTTGAGATTCGATGAAACGGAAGTAGAAAGTATTGGACACAAGGTAGATAGGTAAATAGGTATCCTTAATTTTGTAACACGTCGCAAACAACCGATAGGTATTTCTTTTTTTGTGGTTTTTTATCAAATTTATGAATATTTTTTCTGTAAAAATAGTAAAAACCCCTGCCAATGTTCATTCTAAATATAGTTGCCATCAAAAGGCATGACAACAGTATCACAAAATCGTCGATTTAATGATGTTAGGGGAAACATTATATAAAAAAAATTAAAAACACTGCCTCAGTTTTATTTAGAAATATCAGATTATGAAGATTTTCACCTTAGCCTTCCCTTCAATCTTCTAACATAATTCCAGCTCAGTTCTGTGCCTAGTTGGCTAACTAACAAAGGCGATCGAGACCAAGGGGGAAGCTTTGGCGGTCGGTGTGGATATCGCGAAAGCCTTCGATCGGGTTTGGCACAAAGCGCTTCTTTCGAAACTTCCTGCTTATGGGCTTCCTGAAATGCTATGCGTTTGGATCACTAGCTTTCTTGCGGACAGGAGCATCAAGGTCGCAGTCGACGGTGCATGCTCGGACTCCAAATCCGTAAACGCGGGTGTTCCGCAAGGCTGTGTGCTATCGCCTACGCTATTTCTTCTTCATATCAATGATATGCTTCAAATTGATGGCATTCATTGTTATGCAGACGACAGCACGGGTGAGGCCCTATATACCGGCCGCGCCAACATATCACGGGAAAACGTCATCGAGTGCCGGAACAAACTTGTGTCTGAAGTCGAAACTTTGTTTAACCAAGTAACGAATTGGGGCCGACTTAATCTAGTCCAATTTAACCCTACGAAGACACAAGTATGCGCGTTCACCGCAAAAAAATACCATTTATCGTATCTCCTCTTTTTGAGAACGCTCCTCTAACTGCCTCGTCCACTTTCGGGATCATTTAGAGGGCAAGGCCAAATTGGCCTCTAAGAAGCATGGTGTGCTCAATAGATCGAGAATGTACTTCACACCGGCCCACCGACTGCAACTTTATAAGGCACAGGTTCGGCCTCACATGGAGTACTGCTCTCATCTTTGGGCGGGGGCACCCCAGTACCAGCTTCTCCCTTTGGATCGCATCCAGCGCCGAGCGGCTCAAATCGTCGACGACCAGGACCTTTCCGATCAGCTTGATCCTTTGGCTTTGCGTAGGGATGTAGCTTCGCTCTGCATCTTCTATCGCATTTATCACGGGGAGTGTTCTGAGGAATTGTTCGGATTAATTCCAGCTGCTGCATTTCGCCATCGTACATCGCGACAAAAATTTCATCCCCATCATCTTGATGCGTGGCTATCCACAACCGTGCGTTTTTGTCGAAATTTTTTACCACGAACGACAAAACTGTGGAATATATTGTCGCCAGCAGTGTTTCCGGACCAATACGACCCAAAAACCTTCAAAAAAGAGCGTACTCCTTCCTTAAAGGCCGGCATCGCATTTATGATACTCTTGGTGTTGCAAGTGTCCATGGGCGACGGTGATCACTTACCATCAGGTGAGCCGTCTGCTCGTATGCCCCCTATAACATAAAAAAAAAAAACTTTCTACTTGCGAACGTCCTTGCGAACAGGAGCTCTACTTTCTTTCTTCGAAACGAAATTTCGATAACGAACGAATTTTAAACGAAGTTCGCCAGTGACTCTTCTCTTTTTCCTTTTCGAACACGCACATAAAGTTCGAAATCACAGACAATTTTCGTGAACAAATGGAATGAGTCATGTTTATGAGTTATTTTTATCTTCACTTTTTAGATTACGTATTTTAATAAAACAATATTAATTTACGATAAAAATTTTGATGACATTGAAAAAATCCTTCTTTGGTAGTGTTAGCCGACTATTTTGTAGAGTCGATACAATCGATTGTATGTCGATTGATTGTACCTAAATTTGTCGTTTAATACTTTGAAGTATTGGAAATACAATAAATAATAAAAATTGGGTTTATATATTATAGTCCAAGAGCTGGCACCAATTTTTCGGTAGGTATTTGAGGCAAGCTGAAAACTTGTCCTATACCTCTCCTATTATACCCCAACACGGAACTGCAGGTGAGTAGCGGGGCTAAATCAACCCCTAAATTTAAAACAATATTTTTTTTATATAAAAAAATATGTTTGAGGCAATATGCAATTTTTATAAGTTGCAGTCCAATGTTTACAGAATATAAAAATAAATAATCCAGACGATTAAGTTGGGGTTTTAATATTTCCAGATACGTACAAAATATTTAGAACAAAAATATAAAAAATGTATTTGAGGCAACCTGAAATTTTAAGAGGGTATTATTTATCATTAAAAAATAAGATATATTGTTTTAAACTTTCATGGTAACTTACATTATAGATATTAACGGGATTGTTACCATATACTTTGTTTTTTATGAGTCTCCGATATTTCGGCATTTTTGTAAGCGCCATGTCAGTTATTCCGTAATCATGGCGCTTGCAATAGTGCCGAAATATCGGAAACTCATAAAAAACAATCCCGTTAATGTCTATAATAAAAAATAAGATCTTCAAAAAGACATATCATTTTGGTGGGGGCTTTCTACCTGCACGGTGATCTAACAAATCATGTATAGGTGCGAGTGCGAAGCTGTAGAATAAGAGAGAGCGTTTATCGGCAGCTGTCTGCGTTTTTACTTGCTGCGTTACTATTGGCTCAGGCGAGGTCACGTGACTTACAATAGCCATGAGGTTTTCAGTCGGTAAGTTCTGTACTCAGTAAGTTATTCTAAGTTTAAAATTAATTTAATCTGTCCTATTAAGTCATAGTAAAGTAGTGAATCGCATAAACTTAGTCACTGCGCCATCTATCTTAAGAGTAGCAACATTAGTATATATAAGCTTTTTTAAGCTCATTTAGTATCATTTATAGCCTGCGCGGACGAGGGACAATTGTCCGCGAACTTTTCTCTTACAACTGCATCGAGTAAGGGTAGCTACACATATAATCGGACCAGCCCGAACAATTATCCGTCAAATTCAGCTTTTTGTTTGAAAGTGTTGTGAATTAGAGTAAGCTAGGAGAATTTAATTGTCAAACTACTTTCGGACGAATGAAACAGAATAAGGAAGGTGCGAAATTTCAATCGAAATTTAGTTTTTCGTTGAAATAGTGTAGGCCTCCAGGTGTAGTTCATAGTTTACGTCTAAAATATCTTCAAAAAATTGGTTGACCGTGAAGTCGGTTTACGAACGACAACTTAACGTGATAACGTGTCGTTCACTGTTTTCCGCGGGGCAGTTTTGTGAGGCTTATTGTTCCAGTTTGTTTGAGCCTAAACACGCCCCTGTAGCTCTATGGGGGCCCGAGTTAGTCTCCGCGGGGGTACCAGGGGAGATAGGAGCATCACCCCAGATCACTGCCATTGGAGGTAGATGCTCAAAAGGCCCATCTGAGGGCCAAGGGAGGGTAGGAGAGGGGACGGAGAGAACTACGCTCTCCCTCTCACTCCTGCGAGAGCCGCGAGTCTGTCCTGGGGTGAGATAGGCTCGCATTGCACAAGCTCTCTGGATGCTGATGCCCCTGATGCTCCGGGGTATCTTCATCGGGGTGGGTCCGTCCGCGGACATACACCTGGCGGGTGCGCGGCCATTCGGAGACGGGAGCCGCGACCATACCCTCCCTCTCAGCACGAACTAGGGGGACCGCGGTCATCAGTGCGTGTCGGGTGACGGTGCAGGAGTATTGTCTAGTTTTTAGTGGCCCTGTTCAGGGCGTAGGTACGGCCCTGTTCACTTCACCGAGCTCCAGGGCTGGCTGAAGGGGATAGGCAGGAGTCCCACATACCTTCTTCTCGCTCCCCCAGTGGTTGAAGGATGCGTAAGGCATTTCCCAGACACAAAAAAAAGGCTCCGCGGTGGTGAGGTACTCTTCGAAGGTCAGGGGGGAGGGGACCTAACCTCACACACACCGCGGAACGTTGAACTAACGTGACATGATGTTACATAACGTGACTCGTGACATGACGTCACACTTTTTCGTGCTTGCAGCCTGTGTTATCGATTTATAAGGCGTTATAACGTCAAAATAAGATCAGGGGGGAAGGGAACCCTCGACCTCACCTCAGACACACCGCGGAACGTTGAACTAACGTGACATGACGTCACACTTTTTCGTGCTTACAGCCTGTGTTAATCGATTTATAAGACGCTATTACGTCAAAATATACTCACATTATAGAGAGGAGGAGCAGCAAGTTGAGACACTAGTTCGTGCAAGCGTGCTCTCATAGCTTCTTCTTCGGGACTCAACGCAGCACCCACTCTACCAACGACCTCTTGTTTGGCTATAACCTAAGACCAACAAAATCAATAATTTAAGCCAGGTAGCGGCAAACTTTTTGAGCATAACCACACACAAATAAAGTACTTTTTTGTATGCAAAATAGTTAGTTAGGTCAGTACCTAACTGCAACAGGCTCCGTTGTCCATGGTTTAAATTTAAGAAATTTACCGGTGGTATACTTTTATACCACCGGTATACATCTTTATGTTGAGTGTATTTTCCGCTTGACTGGACAAAGTTCATGAGTCATGTATCGAAAAGATATTAACATTATAGAAGCCCTAATAGAGTTGTACTCAGTAAGTTTTTCTAAGTTTAAAATTAATTTAATCTGTCCTATTAAGTCATAGTAAAGTGCTAAATCGCATAAACTTGGTATGTTGCGCCATCTATCTTAGAGTAGCAACATTAGTATTTAAAACCTTTTTTAAGCTCATTTAGTGTCATTTGTAGCCTGCGCGGACGAGGGACAATTGCCCGCGGACTTTTTTGTGCGTCAAAATAGCTCGCTTACAACTGCATCGAGTAAGGGTAGCTACACACATAATCGGGCCAGCCCAGCGGTAAAATCGAATATGTGTAGATGAATGTTCGGCAGTAATAACTACGGATCGGCTTTGTTATACAACAAATACTGCCGAACCGACAAGACGGCCCGATTATGTGTGTAGCTACCCTTACTCACACGACGGATTAAAAATACCGCGTACATAAAGTCCCCCAAACAACTGGGAGCAGCGGCAGACCATTCAGGACAAAAATACTAGGGTGTCCCCGAAAAAAACAGAACTCCTGTGACTAGGCGTAGCAATGCACCCAGTGAACTTTAGTCTGCGTTGCGCGCTCGATCCGATTTAAAGAGATGGACCCAGAATTCGGTTTCAAAATGTCCTTTTTCTTAAAACTTCATGTTCATAACGTAATCTGAGAATAATTACTTCCTTAACATGCGCTTTTCTAAATTTTCGGGGGACAACTGTTCGTACCTCGTGTGCGTTGAGTCCATGACAAGACCTCAGCGGACATTTTTTCACGATTTAGGGACTTTTGTCCTCCGCGAACAAAGTTCCTTAGTCTACGCAGGCCATTTGTGTCATTACACCTCCGTGGTTGAGTTCAGAATAGACGACCTCCGTGGTCGAATGGTTTGTACGCCGGGTTTCATGGTGACGCCGACTCGAGAGGTCCCGGGTTCGAATCACGGTGGGGGCAGATGTTTGTGTGATGAATACGAGCATTTGTACTCCAGTCATGGATGTTTAATATGTATTTCTATATAAATATACTTATATATGTACTGTATAATAATATGTATTCTATCCGTTAGTATCCCATAACACAAACCTTACATGGCTTACTTGGGGCTAGGCTAATTGGTGTGTGTTGTCAGAATAAAAAAAAATAAAAATAGTATAATATCCCGCTCACGTATTCCCTTCTACAACCCGGAATCCTTTAAAAGAGGCGTGAAAAAGCAAATCCCAGGCCAGCAAGGTGAGGATGACTGGTGATAGCTAATGCAGCACAGTAACCTGCCACTCTGCTCCATCAGCTATCTTCGCGTCTAGACTTCACCGTCACTTAACATCAGGTGGGTGAAGTCATTTTTCGGACCTGTCTATAAAAATTAAAAGTGCTTACGGATCCATCTATATCTGCCAACATACATACCTGCAAAGGGCTCAAGGTCGCACTGCAAGCAATGGAGAGAGCGATGCTCGTTATTTCCTTACTCGATAGAATCAAAAATAAGGAAATCCTTAGGGAACCAAAGAAATAGATATCGCTCGAGGGATTGTTCCACTGAAGTAGCAGAGGGCAGGACACGTAGCAAGGAGAACCGATGGCGGTTGGGGCGGAAAGCTTATTCAATGGCAACCACGCACCGGAAGACTCTCAGTTGCTCACTGAGTCGTTCCCTACGAGGTGGACCGACGATCGTGTGAAGGTCGTAAGAAGCCGATGAAAACAAATGGCGCAGAACCGATCGGTGTGGAGAACCTTAGGGAAGGCCTATACTCAGCACTGGGCTTCGTACGGATGATATGATATGATGATGATACCTGTAATAGTGTATGCCTCAGTCCGTGTAGACTGGCCGATAGTTCGGCCAACCGCGCGGCAGACGCGGCCCGGCGCGTGCGCAACTCGCCCAACGTGTCGCTAGCCTTCCGGAGCCAACTCGCTTGCAAACTGGCTTCTTCAGATTGACACCGGGCGCGAAACTTTATCTGTCAGGAGCAAAGGAAAACCGTTGCTTGTTAATTTAATACTGTGCAACAAGGATCTATATGAATGTGAGTGACAGTTCAGGGAGGGCGCCACTGGTGTCGATTCTGGCATGATTCTCTAAACCTAAACTTACATTAGATTCATCCTTGTCATTCTCTATACAGAATGAAAAGCAGGGAGTGATTTTAAATTTAGTTTCACGTTTAGAATCACACCGTTAATGACATACAAAATATAACGTTTACAAAGAGAGCGGCGTTAGTTCAAATTTTTGCCACATTCATAAAGATCCTTGTTGCACTATATTTACAATTGTGTTTACTATAGAAACGATAAATAGTTTGGAAAGGCCTCTGGGGCGTGGCAACGGCAATTGGTATTAATAGATCAAAAACATAAAGAATGGAGGACATTAAACAATCGTATTGCCAATAGTTCTAGTGGGTATTGGCCAATGGCTCACTTTTTCATTTTCTAACGATATTCAATTTTACGCTGATGTCGCCAGCCTACGTCTACTGATGTTGCTAGCAATATAGAGCCAACTCGAGCCAACCAGCCTCCTCAAGACTGCCACCAATCGCGAAATTTATCTGTCATGCGGGAGTCGCAAAGATAATATAGTAGTTTCTGATAAATTTAGCCTTACGGAGCCAACTCGCTTAAAAACTGGCTTCTTCAGACTGACGCTGAGTGTAAAGAGGCCAAGCACGAATTTTGGCAGCTCCGTCATCGTCGCCAATCGTATCGTCATCGTTACATTTTGTAGGGAAAGTTTGTTCTTACGTCCGGTAGTGGCACTGCTTATTTTAGATGTCAAAATTCGTACTAGGCGTAAGCTGCAAATCCGTTTCTGAAAATTTATCATTCACAACCCTACACTAGCTATCAACTATAAAATAAGATTAGAATCATGCATGGAATGATAAAAAAGTTCGAAAAGGCATCGTGGGCGTAGTAATGGCATCACAAAAAATGTATTACTATGACCAAATCAGAACGATAAGTAAGATCAACCTATTTTTTCACGAAAAGTAGACACGAAAGTGGTAGTAAAGCAGCGACAGCGGCTTTAATACAAATTTTTATTGATGTTCCATTAACTTCGTAGCCGCAGGTAGGTTAAAAAGGTTGAAGAACAAGAAAATAGTCCGTCTGGTTATCCCATAGATGGTCCCAACACAGAAGTATACTTATGCTGACCCCATCCTCTAACACAGAAGTATACTTATGCTGACCCCATCCTCTACCCCGTGATATAGGTAGCGGCAAACTTGTTGAGTATAACCAATTAATGTGCAGGTTTCAATGTCACTGGTCGTTGCTTAAGAAATTAGCTGGAGTTAACTTTTCTTTGACCAAAGTAATGCGTTATGCATATCCCGCCGCTGGGTAAGGTGTAGAGATTATGTAGGACTTCACTTAGATATATATATAGAACACCTCTGGGACCATTTGAAACACAAGGTTCGGTCTCGTGATCCCGCCCCACGAATCTGCAGGAGCTCGAAGACGCCGCTATTGCGGAACGGGCCAGTATCCCTCAAGAAGAGCTCCTAAAATTGGTAAGATGAATGAGGGAGCGTATGGAAGCCGTCATCCGGGCAAAGCTTACATCAGAGCGGATTAAATACCCTTGATACACCACGTGCGCTCAAAATGTCTCCCAATCAAGAAGTGCTTGAATACCACTCAAGCACTTTTTGGTACACAGTCGGGCGCGGACCGCTGAAAAGTCAAGTTACCGCAGAGCTCCGTGAAAAAATGCAAAAAAAAATACTTATAGTATGTAAAGTGTAGTTTTTTCGATAGGTATCTAATCAATGTTTGTTAATTTAATTCATTTGAAGCAAATTTTGTTCTAAACTAATAAAATAGAAAATATTCAAATGCATGGTCGGTAACATAGCCGTCACCTCAGTATTATGTAAAGTTCTAGAAAAGGTCCTTTACAACCATCTGACCCGCTACCTAGAGGATCTCTCTCTGATTAATGATCGTCAAACGATCGAAGGGTGACCTTCTAGCGTACTTGACTCATATCTGGGGTGAGGCTTTCGACAAGCGTGGCGAGTTGTGACTATCAGCCTCGACATTGCTAAGGCATTCGACAGGGTCTGACACAGAAGTCTTCTCTCCAAGCATCCGGCATACGGTCTGCCGGTCCAGTTCTGTTCCTGGGTAGCAGACTTCCTGCATCATGTTCATGTCAGTGAATGCCGGCGTTCCTCAGGGCTCCGTCCTATCCCCCACTCTCTTTCTGCTGCATATCAATGAGTCCTCCTCCATCCTCTTGGGAATATTCATTGCTATGCAGACGATAGTACAGTGTATGTGGGGTATCTCGGACAAGCTGCGGCTAGTCAGACGTTTACCAAGGAGAAAAGGGAGAATCTTGTAATAGCACTCAATCAGGCGTTGGACTACATTTCTGAATGGGGTACCAAGAACTTGGTTGAGTTCAGGGCACAACACTGGAGCTTTTTTTTTAATTTATTGGCAATGGATACATTGTCCTTATGCCTAGCTTATTACTAAGAACATACAACTTAATATATTAGTTAATTATTTACATTTTACAATTTTTCTGCAGTTTTACATATAAAATTAAATATAGGTTTATAAAATAAATGGTTCCCTAAAATTTTACGCAATTCTGTTGGTATGTCACAATTATTAGTTTCACAGATATTTTGCAGTTTCGATATTAAAATTAAACGTTGTACGTTGAACTTTTGACATTTCATAATAATATGTTCTAAATCTCCTATTTCTCCTGGACAAAATGTGCAATTTGCATTATCCGTAATCGTGTTAAATGGGCCGGTGTTCTACAATGTCCAAATCGTAATCTGTTTATTGTTGTAATAAAGTTTCTTAAATCGGCGACTTTGCTTCTATGATACCATGGTATTAGCGGCGGGGTGATCTGTATAGCAGTGTACCATTTCCCTTTTACTTTTGCTATTTTCTTCCAATAGGAATGCCACAGCAAAGTGACCGACTCATTTATCTGCTGGTGGAAATCTGTTAATGGAATTTTGTTGTTGTTGATTTTCATCAAATGCTCCTCTGGCCGCACCATCTGCCACTTCGTTGCCAGTTATTCCACAATGCGAAGGTACCCATTTAAATATTACTCTTTTGCCTCTGTTTCCTAAATCTATTAACAACTTCTTAATGTTAAACAAGATATAATTTGTACTGGATTTCTGCAAATTACCTTCTAAAGCTAGCAAGACACTCTTACTGTCAGTTACAACTAAAAAATTCAAACTATTTACATCAATTATATACAATAATGTTCTGAAAATGGCATAGCACTTTGCAGTAAAAAGTTTGTTTAGTCTGAGTCATAAAATGCTGAAGTTACATTATCTGATGTTTTGGGCCCATCTGTATACATAGTATAAACATCTTGCTGTTCATGTAAATATTGCAAGAATTCAGTTTGGTTAGATAATTTTTCCAAGTCAATATTAATACTGCTATTTATTGTTTCATAACTTGAAGAAAAAATGGGTAAAGGTTTTGAAATTTGTACATTATTGCAGCTGTTTTTTATATCCAATACAATTTTTATCATTTCCGGGAAGTGATCTGAGATAAGTTCATTAACACTTATCTCAGTATTGCTGGTCAAACTTGCAGGGAGGTTTTGACTTGGTAAAATTCTACTTCATACTAAATTATTATCAGATGCCAATAATTTAAGACAAAATTTCATTACAATCTGCCTTCTTATTTTTAAAGGAACTACAACACTGGAGCTAGAGAGCAGTATTACCAGTATGGAAATTCGCTGTGATTAAAATCCAAGGAATTACATCGAAAGCGTGGTAAAAACGGCTTCACGCAAACTGGAAGTTCTGAACAAGGTGCGGCGTTTTTTTCACGCCCGACAAACTATGTTTGTTGTGTAAGACGCAGGTGCGGTCTTGCGTGGAATATTGCTCGCACCTCTGGGATGGCTCCGCCAAGTACTTACTCGATGCTTTGGATTGGTTATAGGCCATGAGGAGGTGACTAAACACTTCGGGCCCCTTTTATTACGTGGCGTCACTAAGCGCGTTCTATCGTCTGTACCATGGCGAGTGTTCTGAGGAGTTATTCTCTCTTATTCCACCTTCCCCTTTTCTTAAAAGGACCATGCGCGCTGGCCGCGCTCTTTGTCACCTTCTAACTATGGCCACAATTCCAACGCGTACAAAGAAATTTGTTGACTCATTTGTTTGTCGCAGTATCCATAAATGAAATGCTCTGCCTGCTCACGTGTTCCCTCCTTCTTACAACCTGCTTTAAAAGAGGCGTGAAGAAGCCACATGCAGGCCGGCAAGGTGCGGATGGCTGGTGTGGAAGGTAGAACTGCTGTACCAGCTATCTTCACGTCTGGACTTCACCGTTCCTTAACATCAGGTGGGGTGGAGTCATTAGCCGGACCAATAAAAAAATTGCAAAAGTTTATTAAGATTGAAATGAGGCATTAATTATTCCTTCAAATAATTTACTAAGAACCGGTTGATATGGGTCTATAATTTCTGGGGTCCCTGATTTAAAAAGAGTTATACACTTTACTGTAATTCATGAGATCCGGAAATACTCCTCATTAGTCAACCGTTGAGGCTGAATGAATAAATGATTTTATTTCTGGCTCAATGGCTGCTTGCGATGCGGGGCTCTACCGAATAAAATTCCGGAATGTGCCCTCTCCTCGCCGAACACGTGACGTGTATTAGGTGTTGCTAAATAAATTCTTAATACACACCTCAGAAAACCCTATTATCGGCACAGGAATGTAGTTTTCGGGATCAGGATTGTCGGCCTGAGCTTGTTTCCACAAACGCATGTCCATACCTGTGAAGAAGGAAGAAAACTATTATTAGAATATCGACATACAGTAGAACCCGTTTAATACGATCACGCTTAACACGATTTCTAGCTTAATACGCCATTTTGCGTCGGTCCCTGCAACTTTAAACATGTTTTCATACATTTCTTAACGCTTAATACGATTCGTCATCCCGTTTAATACGCCTAAATCGCCAACACGTACCACACATATTACCTCTTGCGGCAGCGGCCTGCTATTGCCGTGATGACTGTCGAGCGACGCACGCTAAGCCACCCTCAGGGTTTTCGAAATTTCCCTATTCCGCAATCCCTCTAAATACGCTTTCCCGCTTAAGACTTGTCTTGGTCACTTACCTGGCGGCGGCGCCTGCAGGTAGTGCTGCAGCATCTGCGGCGAGGGGCGAGTGGCGGCGGTGACAGCCGCAGCCTGCGGCGGTGTACGCGGCGCGCCCGGCCCGTTCAAGAACCCGGCCAGCTCCGCCGCGGACACGTGCGACCCGCTCGCGTCCTGTGTACACCAAGGGAGGGGTCACTTACTGGGCGGCGGCGTCTGCAGGTAGTGCTGCAGCATCTGCGGCGAGGGGCGAGTGGCAGCGGATACGCAGCCGCAGCCTGCGGCGGTGAGCGCGGCGAGCCTGGCCCCGTTCAGGAACTCGGCCAGCTCCGCGGCGGACACATGCGACCCGATCGCGTCCTGTGTACACCAAGGGAGGGGTCACTGACCGGGCGGCGGCGTCTGCAGGTAGTGCTGCAGCATCTGCGGCGAGGGGCGAGTGGCGGCGGATACGCAGCCGCAGCCTGCAGCGGTGAGCGCGGCGCGCCCGGCCCCGTTCAAGAACCCGGCCAGCTCCGCGGCGGACACATGCGACCCGCCCGCGTTTTTGTCCACCACGTACACGACCACCTGTTTATTATAAATAAATAAATTGAATTAATTATTTCTCAGGCATGCAGGTTTCTCCATCATGTTTTCCTTCACCATTTGAGAGTAATCGGATAAATGTAAGTATGACTAAATGCGCGTCTCTCAAGACAATGAAGAACAATAATTATTTCTTTAGAAATTTTATAAGAATATTTATATTTACTTTAGAATATTTAAATGTACAACTAATTTCGAATGTAGAAAATGAAACTTCATGAACGCACAAACGTCAAATCGGGCATCAAAGCGTGCCGCTACTATAGTGAGTGTTGATGTTGAAAGTGCGCAAAAGCAGAGTCCGGCTAACCGCCAGCTTAGTGTTTCAGTGCCAGTAAAAAATGTGTCAGTGATGAGTGATAGGCATCAAACTATGGTGAACCTTATTGATTGTTTTGTCGGGAGCATGTTCGGTGCAATGCAACCGAACACCTTTGTAAGCACTTTGATTTTAGGTCATTTTCCACGTCAATCCAAAATCATACGTCAGCCGCAACAAGCGAAGCATCTATCTATACTTATAATAAATCTGTAGAGAGGTCAATTCTGTACATGAAATATATTTTCAAAATAACTATCAGGGGGTGATTAGTGATCGATACTGATGCCAAAAATGCAATCACTAAAAATTTTGTCTGTCTGTCTGTGTGTATGTTCCTTATAGAAACAAAAACTTTTAACGATTTTAACGAAACTTGGTACAATAATTCTTCATACTCCTGGGCAGGTTATAGTATACTTTTCATCACGCTACAATCAATAGGGAAACGGGAGAAGTTACTCCATTTTTTCAGCTTCCGTCGCGTGTGCAGCCTTAATGGTTAAAGTTACATAGAAATTATGTATGACGGAAATATTCTACATAAAATTGTCTAAAAAATATCCCGCAACAGCATATGTCTATCTTTTATGGTTGACTCACAATAACACGTGTAACTCCTGATAGCTTAGCAGTTCAGAGCATTCCGATAATATAACGTAAATATGAGAATTTTAGTTTGATTATAAATACAGGTAATAAAAATGACCGTTTTTATCTATATACATATATATAAAAGTCAAAGGGGACTGACTGACATAGTGATCTATCAACGCACAGCCCAAACCACTGGACGGATCGGACTAAAATTTGGCATGCAGGTAGATGTAATGACGTAGGCATCCGCTAAGAAAGGATTTTGATCAATTCTACCCCCAAGGGGATTAAATAGGGAATGAAAGTTTGTATGAAACTTTGTCAATTTTAAACCAATCGGGCTGACTTTGCATGCAGGTATAAGAAGAATCATAGATGAATGTCATTGTGTATAATACAAGCCTGGGAACAAAAACTGTAGTCTACACTTCAGCTCTACACCGAAGCGAAGCGAGGGCGGGCCGCTAGTGTATCATATAATTATTATTGTATTTTATTGAGTATATTTTTTAATAATCAACACTATAACGCACATGTGCACTAATTTAATTTATATAATGCTAGCTTTCCGACCGCAGCTTAACGTGGTCTACATCCTAACATTATTTATAAGCTATAACAGGTTATAGTATTATATTTTTATGTTTGATTATCCAAAACCAATAAAACTAACTAAAGAATACCTGTGTCTTGCTTTCAGAAACAGCTTTCACGGAATCAATATTTACTGTGAGGTGTGGTTTGTTCCCCAACAAACCAGACAGAGAAGTGATAAAGGCTTGCTGATTATTCCTGGAGAAAGAAATAAGTTTTTTTAGAGAAATGATATTATGATTCTACCTTATAAAAACCAAAGTGAAATACCGCCACCGTGTTTTCATGTTGATGTGCAACGTTGTAGGGCTCCACGGGGTAAGGTTAGTACAAGAAGTACTCGTACTTACGGCATGTTAGGTTCTCGAAATACACGACGTAAATCGAAAGTCGTAATCGGTAATCGTAAGTCGAGATATCCCCACGAACGCCGGCCCCACGGACATTGACCTCGCGAAAAGTGAATTCTATTATACCGGAAATCGAAACAATTGCCGTATGCTTGAGGAATAGTGTCAAAACATTGTTCGACGTAACTGGAAACGACGTAAAACGAAACGACTTAAGTCGAGGACTGCCTGTATATCGCAAGCGTCTATGCCTATGGGCTATGGGAGCCGCTTACTATCAGTCGGATCATCAGCTTGTTTTCCACCCATTAAACAACCCACATAAAAAATTCAGTGGTTTTCAGGAGCGCCAACATAAATGAAAATTATCTCTTTGCTTGCAAAGATTTCAATCGTTAGATATGCCTTTCCATAGTTTGACCGCTCTGAAAGCTGACAGCACTCGACCAGGCTCAGTAGCGTATCATTATGGCTTATCTAATCAGTACTTAGTACGAGTTTTACAATTACGAAAACTATGATAGTTTTCGTAAGCTCGGACTCGTACTAGGGGTACTGATTTTATTGTTTTCGTTTCAATACAAAACAGTGTTCAAATTCTATTATTAAATCATTTTAGTCTTCTTAAATGTTAAGTATACTTGGTTACTTTTCACCAAAATGGACATAGAAACATAATTTACAATTACGAAAACAATGATAGTTTTCGTGAGCTCGAACTCGTACTAAGGGTACAGAGTTCATCTGAACATAGTGTCAGTTTGACGTTGGTGAATAAAATACCGCAGGCATTTTAGCGAGAAAAATGTATTAAAATGCCGTCGTGCGCCTTCCGAAAATCCACTAACAATTCGAGAAGTACAAATAAAGGTAATGGTGTAACATTTCACTCATTAATTGTGCTGTTGTACGATATTGATCGTCGTTTGTTCTTTTCCATACTAAATTATGTAGGTATCTACTTAATTAGATCAAATATTTACAATACAAAACGCACGTTTAAGCACGGCTAACTGCATAAAAAACAATTCAGACCGTTCGGGCTCGGCGGCGCATTCGCGACTGGGTGCCCGCCGACAGCACATCGAACTCGAGTGGCGTAGGTATGACTCGCTTTCCGACCGTTTGTATGAAGATAGAATACTGTATGATATTATTACCGTGCCTACGACCTCTTGGGAAATTAGGAACAGTTCTATATTCTTGGAAAATTAAACCAAATGGAGTAAAATTTATGTTATAATGATATGAAAACTGCGATATTGATATTTATATTATATGATTGATGCAGTATAGTGTTGAAGTTATATCAATCTTTTCCTCACTAAAATATCGGCTAGTATTGGAACTTGTCTCATGATTACAGTATTTTCTTTAAATTACAATATCACTCTCTAAAGCGATCATTTTCTATCTATTTTGTAGTAACAGATTTGCAGAAGGTACAAATAAGCTTTGTGCTTTTGTGACGTGAGCTGTCAATTGTGGAAAAAGGCGGAATACCAAACCTAATTTATATAATGACAATAGATTTTCCGCATTACTTTTTTCCGTGATATTTCCTATATTTAAATACACACATCAAAAGTGTCTAGGGATCAACATATATTTTTGCAATAACTTTTCTCCTGATTGATATTAATTAAAATTTTCTTTAAGGATTCATCAAATAAAGTGTTTTCGTTTGTCACAGTAACGATAAACCAAGTCACCTTTGCATTAATAAAGAAATTTGCCATTTTCCTAATAAAGGGATTTTTGACATTTGAACCACTAACACAAAAGTTCGAAAAAAAGAAATAACAGTTTTCTCTAAAATTTTATTGGGTAACTTAAACAATTAATAATCCGTATTTCTACCGCGAACACTAACAACACAAGAACATCGGTTTGGCATACTCAAAATGAGTTCATCCAAATCACGCTGTGGAATGGCCGCCCATGTTCGTTGCAACAACAAAAAAAGGTCTTCTTGCGACTGGATACCCTCCATATTCGGCAGAGCTCTTCTCTGTAGCATATCCCATGCATGCTCAATCGGGTTCAAGTCTGGCGACTGAGCAGGCCAGGGCAGGACATTGATGTTAGCTGCGGCGAGAGTCTGTCTTACAACTCTTGCGGTGTGCGGTCGTGCATTATCATGCATTAACTGAAATAAGGGACCGATTTGCACTTGTAGAGAAACGATGACGTCTGATACAATCGTCTCAGCATAAATTTGAGCGTTGAGGTTGCCTCTGATCCAAATCAACTCAGTTCTTCCGCCGATCCAAATACCCGCCCATACCATGATGGTTCCACCACTATAAGGATGGACTTCCTGGCACGATTTTAATCGCTGTTGGCGTCCAGGGGTTCTCCAGTGTCGTATACGTCTTGTATCCGGTCTCATACCAAAACGAGACTCATCAGAAAAGCACACGAAACGCCATTGTTCTTCTGCCCAATTTCTGTGTTCAAGAGCCCATTGATATCGAATCCTACGATTGTGCATTGCTATAGGTGGTACCCGTAGCGGTCTTCGGGAATGAAGGTTCACTTCATGCAAGCGGTTTCTGACTGTTTGGTCGCTAATTAAGTTCCCTGAAGAGTGATGAAGCCTCACGGCTAACATCATGGCGGTTATTGTTGGAGCTCTTCGAGTTAAGATTTGAATGTATCGGTCTTGTCTCCGTGTGGTGCAGCGATACCGTCCTCCATGGCGCTCAGCCACGGTACCAGTGCTTCGGTATCGTGTCCAAAGTCGACTGATAACACTCTGACTTGTATTCAGAGCTAAAGCCACAGTACGTTGCCGGGAACCAGCTTCTATCATTCCCACGGCTCTGAGCATTTCTTCCCTGCTTAAATGACGTCGCCGCTCCATAATAACGTTGGTTTTAATCAGTAGTAGGGAAACAGTAGCACTAATAATGTCTTCAATGCGTTGTATGTTTTTATAGGGAAAATATTGACAGCTGATTTTCATCTTTTACTCGAATTTGATTCACAGTTCCTGATTCAAATTATGAAATGCACCAAAAAGGATCCATATAAATTTATAAAATCATAAATTTATAACAAAGCCACATCTCAATCTCAAGAAATCCGCATAAAAATGCTTGATCCCTAGACACTTTTGATGTGTGTAGTTAATTTGCTATTCGGGGCGGAGAGAATTCCAAAAAATCATAATTCTCATAAAAATCGGTCCAGCCATTCTTGAGTTATAACTAACACGACTTTCTTTTATATTTAGATTTATCCTAGTAAACTATTGAATTTTTTTGTGTTTGTTTTATTTCGCTTGTAAAGTCCTAAATTTAATTAAGCTAGATATTCAAAATAGCCACATTTATTGACTGTTATAAAGGCGGTACGCAGTTCGCCGGGTGTGCTAGTGATAATATAATTGCAATATATTCACCACATAACTAAGTATTTGTATTTTTCTAAATTCGAAATGTATAATAAATAAATCAAAACGATCGCCGCACATAGGATCGCTGAGCTTATGTAGACATTTATATTTTTCATTTGATTCTATCCTTTTGATCACCTTCTGTTTGCAATATTGGTTAAAATACCAAAATAAAAATTCTAGATGAGACTCGCATTTAATAGCATTACTTTATTTTTGCGATAAAAAAATTGACTTTCACTTCACTATTGTAATGTGTCGAAACGGCCATCATCATAACGTCATTGCAAAATATGGCCACAGTTTTTCGGTGTCAGGGCATATCTAACGATTTAAATATATGTTTGCTTGTAGATTACAGGAAAACTTCTAAGAACTTTACAGTAATTATTAAAATAAAATAAATATTTAAGGGGGGCTCTCATACAACAGACGTGATTTATGTCATTTTTTGCTCAATATTAAAATAAAGTGTTCAATGTAGTATAAATAATAGTATGGAACCCAACGTGTGCGAGTCAGACTCGTACTTTGCCGGTTTTTAGGACAATTACTCACTTTATATCTTGTTCAGGTTTATTGAATAACATAGCCACATGGCCATCTTTATCCTCACGTCCTCCAACACGAGAATAACCCACAGCTTTAAACCTACATAGCGGATTTTGTTCATTCAACTCTAGGGGTGGCGCATTGCGGTTATAATATGCCTGACCTGAAAAAAAGTAACATAATATTTACAGAAACACCAGGTATATTTTATTAAGCTTTAAACACTCAAACGACAAACGAATGGAAACTACCTCATATCATGCAACAATTAGAGGATCGATACGATCCCGGGATCCCGGGCTTCGAGATCCCGGTCATATTTTAGTCTCAAAATTTTCGGGATTAAATGTAATGAATCCCGGGATTTTCGGGATTGATATATTTTTATACCAATCAATAAAAATGTGCGTGAAACGAAACGCTCTTATTTTCATTTGACGTTTTGACGGCCACCTTGTTTACACAGTTGACTTTACTTATTTTTGCTAACGACCGGTACCGGATTATGTGTAAAAGTGTGTAAAATTTCCGCTTCAGTCTTGTAAGAATAATGTGTGTGTAATTGATATTTTTGTAAATTGGTGATAATCAATGAATTTATTAAAAAACAACCAATGCGGTAATGTGTCTGAGTAAATATAGATGACAAACAGCGAGTGTTATTTTCTGTAGCTCTGAGAGGTTATGTTTAAGTCGTGCATAGAAATAAATGTTCTTTTCATTTTTGTTTAGGTTTAAGAAGTAAACAATGTCATTATCCAAAGAAAGTTTTGATCAAGCATACAAATGATGAAGATGTTTCGTCAGTGTGGAGTCATCAATTTTTAGTCAATAAAGCTCAGCACAATGTTAGCGTTGCTTAGCTATTTTAAAGACCTTAGGAGGATCAACCAAAGGCCTACATAGTTATATCTCTTCAAAATATTCCGTGAAAGTAGATTCAAGGTTTCTTCCTCAACTGGCCAAAATAATGAAGGACCACCTATAGTCGTTTTTAAAGTATATCTAAACAAGTCTTAAGAAGATGTTTTTTTTAGTTTGTTAATAAAATAAAATAAACAAACAAGGCAAATCTGTAAATAATTTATGAAACTATTTCATAAATTATTATTTACAGAAGTGCCTAGTTTGTTTATTTTATCAGAAGGAAGTATAATTTTGTTTTGTTTTTAAAGATTTAACTAAAGATTTAAAATAAAAAGTTGATTTTAATATGTTTTACTGTCTTTTTATTACCACTTTCTATTACCAATACAATCCCGGGATTAAATGTAGATGATCCCGAAATCCTGAGATTAGAAAAATCGACCGGGATCGAATCCTCTAGCAACAATACAAATCACTTTTGGTAAACTAAAAATAAACTACTTACTACAAAAAAGGAATGCTAATCCTTGTATGCCTTTGATCAATCATTTAGGTCCACCTGCACCAAAGTTTTTAAAATACAATTTAAAAGATGATCATGTTTAGCCTTATAATAATAATTTAAGCCTTATTCCATCTCTATTTGACTTTAAACAAAAAAAGATGAAATGATATGTTAAACGGGATTAAGCCTTAATTTGAATCATGAATGTTGGTGCAAGTGGTCCTTATAGCAGCAGTCAGAGCAGTCAATAAGGTTTTAAGTTTTACTTAAGTTTATGATGTCACTTTCTCACTGAATTATAGGATGAGAGAATATGCCTAACCGAAGCATTAAAAATATTTTGTCGTTTCTGAGTATAGTTGTAATCACAAAAATAAATCTTGAAACTGTGAAATAACAACATCCGGCTAAAGGTTGTGAGAGTAAGTGAAGGCTCAATTAATAACCTACCAGTTCCCCATTGGGCTTGCAGGAGATTCCATTTAGCGAGAACTTGGTCCCTTTCATCGCCAAAGACACAGCAATTAAATACAGCTGCGACCAAAGCCTCGTGAGCTGTGGTAGGGCCTTGCTGCTGCTGTTGTTGTTGTTGTTGTTGTTGCTGAAATGAATACAACTAGATGAAGTTCCAGTACCATTGTCATCTTGGAATGAAATAAATTGTAATCGCCACAATAACATCGCCGTGTGGAAACATTTTTTTTCTTTGAGGGTGTATACGTGGCACGACTACAACAACGCCGCGGTTCTTTCGCTCGTGCCTTTACATCGGTCGGTATCCGTTATGTTTTAATGATTAAAATCTTTATCGTCTACAGCTTGGTTGTTGACTACAGTTATTCATCACCTTCGTCGCGTTGGTTGTAGTCGTCGCGTCGCGTAATGACGCTCCCACACCTGCGCGACGAAGCTTTGCACTACTGATTGCGTTAAAATATGCGTCCTAAATTTCGGTGCTAAAGTCATGGTTATTCTGGCGCTCTTTCACATGCTCACACTAATTTATCTTCCCCCAAAAGCCCTTTGACGTGTCAAAAAACCGCCAGTAAAGCTATTGTCTTAGTCTAGCGTCACACATCTCGATAGTTCGTCACGATAGCCCCTAACGACTTTCACACCTGCGAACCTTCGTGGCAATAGACGCAGGTATGGGAGAGACATCATAGAACGTGCCACCACACGACAATAATACCTTTAGCGGTGATATGATTGTCTGAGTGTGAGTAAAAAATCTGTGCATCGTCAAGCGTATATTGCTACTCGCCGCAGAACGTGGCGCTCTAGTAGCGAGCACGTTATTAAACATCTAGCGATGCAGACCATTCCAGCGTGTCGCGATACGCTTATGAAAAAATCGCCATCTAATAGAGATTACCCGACGACGAAAATGTAGGCTCGTCGCGCGCGATTCATTTAATATTTTATTCTACCACTTTGTCGGCATGGCATGTTTATTTATACCAAATAACTCTTTTTTGTACAATGAGTCTCTCAGATAAGCTACGAACAGACGGACGAATGGACCTTGTAGACTAGCTTATCTAATCTTATAAACAGCAAAAATAATGCTCGATAAAAAGATTTACCTGAGTTTGCTGACCAAAAGCAGGTGCTGTTGTTCCGAGGTTTGTCCCAAATCCACCAAAGCCTGTTGCTGGTTTTGTACCAAATGTAGAACCAAAAGTGGATCCAGTGCCAAATGTGTTTGAGCCAAGTGTGTTTGTACCAAATGTTGGTGCTGTACTACCAAATGTAGAAGTACCTGCACCAAATCCTGTACCAGTACCAAAACCAGTTGTCCCAAAACCTAAAATATTGGCTTAATAAATATACACGTAATTAAAACATTTTAAGTCAGAAACGACATAAATATCATACCTCTAAAAACTTATAAAATTTATCTGCAAAATTCACAAAAAAGAGACAGTAAAATTATTACCAGTTGCTGGTTTAGCAGCTGTATTCCCAAATCCTGTGCCCCCAAACAATGACGGTGCAGTCGATGCAGGAGTTGTTCCTAATCCTCCAAAAGGAGCAGCTAAATAAAATCAAATTTTAGTAAATAGTTAAAAGTTTAAATGTGGTGTTCAGGTCATATGCAACTTCAGGATTATAATGTCTATGTTAACTTTCATGCTTTGCCACTCCATTAATAAAGAGTGTAGCTATTAAGTGTCTATCTTTAACATATAAAATGGATGTGGACTTGTAAAAAAGAAACGCACCCGAGACAAAAAATCTTCTTTTTCATGTTTTTCCAATGTATAAAAAAACTGTTTTCTTGCATCTCTAGCTATGATACTATGTATATAGTATGAATACACCTAAATAATAATGATATAATATTTATGCGTTTTCTCATATAATAAATTAATAATCCATTCTAGAGCCACAAACCACAGCACTAGTACCAAAAAGTGCTCTGCCTAGTTTAATCATTGGATTACTACATATATCATTCATGAACTACAAATTTAATCATAGCTTTAAATCAGTTTAGTCCAATTATATTTTGCTCAACACTGCCTCACCTGATATTCTTATTAGAGAGGCATCAAAGGTAACAATATAATACAGTAAGTATATCATTAATGAGCTACAAATGTAAACATATCTTTTAATCAGTAGTAAAATTATATTTTGCCAGACTACCTCACCTATTCTTATAAGAGAGGCATCAAAGGCAACAATATATTACAGTATATAATATCCTCCATATTACATTTGAATGTGCATTCTCAAGACAAGGTTATCCACACACAGTGGAGATACTATACTATATCTTACAATACATATCGCTCACCATTTATTTAATCAATCTTATTAAATCAGTATCTTAATATACCAAGCCAAGCTTTTATCTTAATGCTGCATTAATAAATAATGCATTTTGATGTAAAAAAATATATTTATTTATTTATTTTAAACTTTATTGACCAAAATACAATAGAATGGTACAAAAGGCGGACTTAATGCTAATAGCATTCTCTCCCAGTCAACCTTTGTGAAATATTGTAAGATATCACTAAAGGTATGGTTTTGAGTCGTAATATCTTGCATGATTAAGACTTACTTTAAAAACGTAAAGAAAGTTTTAAACAGTCCACAATTTTAACTCTGCATGATTGTATTCCATATTATATTTAATATACACAAATAAAAGACTATGTACTATAAAAAAAATATATAAAATAAGATACATCCTACAATACTGACTCCAACTCAGAATATTTGTTTTGGAGATTAGACAGGCTATACTAAAGCTGTTATTAGTTGTTGGTGTTGTTTATTGCCTCTCCCACAGTTGATTATTTCACCGAACTCGAAGCGAATTACGACCGGATAGTTGTCAGCTAGCCGGTGTCGAAGATGGCTGCGTATTGTGGGCACGGTGGTCAGTCACGTGTGTTCTGATATTTTATACAATATTTTGCAATTTTAAAATTATTTTAACTGGTTTTATTTTTTTTGAGAATTATTTCAATTATGGCTATAGCTATTTTGTCATAACTGTTTAAAATAAATATGTTAGAAAGAGAAACTTTGATTGTCGCGATCGTAACGATGTGTACATTTTAGTGATTTTTTTTCCGAAACTCATGTATCTTTATTTCATTATTTTTATCTTATGCATAATTATTCTTTTAGTTGCAGCTCTTTACAATGAAGATATCCCCAATCTATTAAAAGATGGAAATGAGTTCGATATTGATGAATGGAATGACGATTCATTTGATAGAAATCTTTTTTAAGAAATCTTGGATAACCAAAGTGAAGATTCTTTAGAGGAGCTTCATACTAATCCCAGCTGTATTTGTTCCACTTTTAGTAGCTGGTTAGAAGATGAATTAAGAAATAAAAAAGGATTTTTTGATAATACAGTATAAACTCTATATAACGAAACTAAAGGGACTGTACATTTTATGGCATTATAGACAGTTGTCGTTAAATGGAAAGAAGAAAAATCAGAATTATGAAAAAAAAAAGTTTATTTCAAGCTTGTAGTTATATACATAAAAAAAAACTTATTTGAAAGCTATTGCGTATATTCTATTATTTTTGTCTGACGTCTTTTGCTGCACCAATAATTTTGTTGTATTATATTTCTTTTAGTCATGGTCAATAACAGTCTACACGTGCAATCCCAATTTGTATACAAAAGAAAGAATTTCTTAGAAAGTTTGGTTTGCATGATGCCGCGGCGGTCGAGTTTATTACGGGCTAGGATCATAAAGCGACAAAAGAACGTACACAGCTGCGCGATTTTCACTAATTTTGGCAACTTATAAGGTACTTTTTATAACTTGATGGAGGGTGACCCTCCATCAACTTAAAAAATCCCTAAAATCGAATATAAATAATTTCATAGGAATATCGGAAAAGGTGGCTCTGCTACAACTTAAGTTTCAGGATCTCAGTGTCTCAGTAATACAAGTATATGCACCTACAGAAAACTTAAGTAAAGACGATATAGACATTTTCTACAATGACATTAGAAAAGCACACACACTAGCAAACGATCATGTTGTGGAGATAGGAGATTTTAATACAAAGATTGGACAACCTACAAAGCAGGAAATTCTGACAATGGGTAAATATGGCTGTGGAACACGGAATGAAAGAGGCGAAATTCTCATAAAATATGCATCAGAATTCAAACAATCAATCATTTTAACAAAAAAGAGAAACACAAGTGGACATGGATATCACTCAACTCTAAAACCAGGAATGAAATTGATTATATCCTGTCCAATAAACCACAGCTTTGATCAGCTGTGGTTTATTGGACAGGATATAACATAGAAGTTTTAAATAACATACATTTTGCATCCGATCATAGATTAGTTCGAGCAACAATACTCTTGAAAACACAGAAAAGAAGTAGAAGAAATTACAGAACTGCCCTAAGAATTCCAAAATCTGAAATGGAAATAGAAACCTATCTGAAGCACCTAGATCAGATTGTTAATAATAGCAATGTTGAACCAGCGGATGTTCAATCCTATTACAATATGATAGAAATGGCCATCATAAAAAGCCCATCTGTAAAACAAGACTATGTCAAAAATAAAATTAACATACTTAGCAAATATACTAAAACACTAATACATCGACGAACAGAACTGCTTAACATGAGAAACAAAAACAAACAAATGAAGAGTGAACTGAGCAAATTGTTCAAAGATGTATACAGGGTGAAATTGAATGTTTCTATGAAACTTCGTGAGATTGTTGGGTTACATGTATAGACTATACCTGATTTTTTTCGGATTTTTTAAAATTATTTTTTTCGTTTTTTATTTTTTTTATTTTGCATTTTTATGTCCTTTCCTCCTTTTGAGTGATAATTATTTTTAAACACGTATTCATAGTAAGTGAAATAAGTGTTATCTTCTCATTAGCAGAGAAAAATACCTAAAAAGTTAATAATAATTTTGTTACAAAAACAAATACTTATTGCAGTTTAATACTTGGGTCAGAAAGAAATTTATAACTAGGTATTAGACAGTACTTACGAGACCGGCGATGTAGTAAGTACAACGAGGAACGAGGAACATATTCATTTTTTTCACTAGAACTTTTTATCAAATCAATCACACTGGTAGTACACTAATTAGTTGTTTCGAATCAAAAAGTATTTACGCTAGCAAAAAAAGAAAATTGTTGCACTATACCACCATTTTGCTGCAAACAAAGGTAGGCACGTTTGCGGACGTGTCTTTCTACCTATTTTAAAGTGTCCCTGTCACTTCTCACTGCACAAAATGCAACTTCTATGCGTCTTTTTAGTTCCTTTTACTTTACTTTACTGAGCACTTCGTCACACTCGCGATAGCAGTACACCATTTCTAAATATTCTTGGTTCGTATACCGAGGCATAATGAAATTATCACAGTGTTTGTCACTAAGTCAAAATATGCGAACGCGCGATTGATATACTTGCGACTGCCCTTTGCATGCATTGCAATCAAAGCAAAGCACCGCGCGCGGGGAAGAGGGGAGGTGGGCGGGCGAGCGTCGGCGTACATAAAAGGCAGGACTTTTTAAGGTGCTTTCACATAATCATGCCGAAATAGCCCGCGCCGTACTACTTACTAAGACTAAGACTAAAGTAAAGCCTTATATTTCTATAGTCAAACATTTACAAAAAAACTGCCGTTGATATTTGTTACTGCCTCAGTAAGGCACCTCGCGCACTAGACGATTATGACCACGACCAGGAGCCGCGAGGACCAGATTAACTAAGGCACGTCGTGCACTAGGCCACGACCATGACCAGCCGTGGTCGTGGCCGTCACCACAACCTTGATCGCAGAAGCTACGGTTGGGCTGCGGACAAGTTTGTGGCAACGACCACGACTGGTCGTAAAGCGACCATATTACTGGTCGTTTCTTTATTTCATTAATAAATAACTCTTTCAAAGCTCATTGCAGAAAAATATCTTCGTCCTATAGAGTTGCGGAACGATACGAAGCGTGCTCTTTCACGAACTATCAGCATGACACTGAGAATGGCTGAAGCGACCAGGCCGCATTTGCGATCGCAGATCTAGAGTGCGAGCGCTCATAGCCAGCTATACAGAAGATAGTCGCAACGACCAGTCGTACTGGCCCGCACTAGATTTGCGACAGCGAATGCGGTCAATCTCAGTGTCAAGGTCATGCGGACAGTTCGTGAATGAACATGTTTCATACCGTTCTTCGACTGAATATGACGACGTTTTTTTCTACAATAAGTTTTGATACAGAGTTATTAATTAATGAAATAAACGACCAGCAATATGGTAGCGTCACGACCAGTCGTGGTCGTGGCCGCAGACCGCAGCCGCAGCCCAACCGCCTCTGCGACCAAGGTTGCGGCCACGTCCACAACTGATCGTGGCCGCGGTCGTCTAGTGCGCGAAGTGCCTTAATCGAACAACATGATAAACATTTAACATTTCAAAATTATAAAGTTGTTGTATCCACAACAATTCATTCATTTGTTGATAAAAATGTTGGAGAACTAGCGTCAGATTGTTCAATACATCGCTATTG